CTGGGTCAAATTCTGTAGGTACTGCTTCTAGTGGCTGAAATCCTGATGATTCTAGAATGATGGCCATGCAAATGAGTCTCAAACTGCTCCTATAGTGTGCATGGGAGGGGATACCACCAATGGGTGTAGGCACATAATGAGAAACACCCATTGGAATCACCAGTCTGGCTGCTGGGAGATGGTGGGAGGCAGGTGGGGTGCAGAAGCACAAACCCTCTACCTCATCGGGAAAATGAAGATTCATCAAGCTACCTTGCGAACAATTTATTTCACAATTGGCTTGTAAAATAACTCCTTGGGACTTAGATTCTTTTGGGGGCAATCAGAAACTCCCTTGGGAATCTGATGAAGTCATATACTTATCACCCAGAATATGTATACACGACAACTTGCTTAAAATATTGTTTTCATCGGGATAACAGCCAAGAACTATCAGAGACATCCATCATCCTCTCACTTCTGATTTTGGAATTTACTAGTTCCTATTTCATGGCAAGTACTAAGCTGGAAACTGGGGGTACAATGGTTTATAACACAAGGGCCCAGTCTTTGGGGCTCAGTCTATTGGGAGACAAACACATAATAAAGATGCACATTAGTGAGTTAAGTGCTATGTTAGAACCCTAAGCACAGAAACCTCCAAAATCCCTGAGTCAAGGGCAATTAATTCAGTCTGTCTATAAATATGGAAGTGCCAGGCAACTAGTGCAGAGACATGGTTCTTACCCCGTGGAGCTTAACGTCCAGAATATTTTAAGTCTGAAGCTGAGGAGGGGTCGTGGAATTTGATACCAATCCAGGGTGAGCTCTGATTGACAAGCATAAGTTCATCCAAGTGTAGGGGTTGAATCTTACTGGCAGTAAGAGCTGTGAGGAGAGCAAGGGCAACTACAAACAGTTCAGCAGGCTCCACATGAGGGGATGAGTGGTGAGAGCAAAGTGTAGAGTGAGATGTGCTGGGATCAGATTCTGAGGGCTCGTAGTGCTTTATTATGAATTGCCAGCTTTATATCAAGTCAAAGGTTGTCACTGGGCCTTTTTTTTTTTTAATTTATTTATTTATGCATACAGAACTGGGGTACAGGCCAGAGGTACAGGGGCAGTGACAGGACTCACTGGAGACAGAGTGGGGAGCAGAACAGGCAGACTGACGAAGTGCACTGCTGAGGGGAGCAGCAGGCGGGTCAGGAGAGGTCTGCTGCACCATGTGGGTCACCATCCTTGTTCAGGGCTCGAACTCGAACTTGTGCTGCAGCCAGCCAGCTTCATAGTGCCGCGTTTCAACCTGCTGTACCCCCAGGGAGGGCCCAATTGGGTTTTTCTTAAAGTAAGTGAGATGCAAGAGATTAGATCACCATGGGTAAAAATGGATTATTCTGGGCAAATAGGGTGATTAATGGGTGAAATCATGAAGACCAGAAGGAAGATGCTGAGTTAATCTAGATGAGAAATGATGAGGTCTGAATAGTGTCAGAGCAGATGAAGTGGAGAGATCTAAAAAAATAAAGCAGGGCCTCCAGGTAGAACTTGACATGTGTTCCCAGACCCCCTAGATTGACTTTCTTCTAAGGTAATGTTCTGTGCTATGGTCAATGAGGTGTAGTGGGTTCAGCATTAAGAAACTCTTGTCACAGAAGTGGTATGATTTAGAGGAATCATGGTTAGAAAATCGTTGTGGAAACTGCATTCAGCTGCTTAATGATTATGACATTAAGAGCATGCACTGAAATTGTGTTCATTTACTCTGTTAAGTATTCTTCATATATTAACCTATTATACTTCAAATAATCCGAATAGGTTCTACTCTTACTCCTATAGACTATATGAGGATATTAAAAGAAGTTAAATGCCTTGCCTAAGATTACCCAAGTTGGAGAGAAAATAGGGATTTGAGCTCTGGAAGTCTGACTCCAGGACCTGTACTATCAACTCTACTATATACTCTGGGTCTTATGCTCATATCAGCTCTCTTATATTGCTTCTCTATAAAATTCAGTATGAACATCAGAATTAACTTTTCAATTTGTTCTGAACTTTCTATCACATTAGAAAGGTTTCAAAAAAAAAAAAAAAAGAAAGGTTTCAATGCCACTTCCATCTCCAGAAGCTTTTTAGGAGAGAAGTATGAAGCAAAATGCTGGGTGTGAATGTTTTTGCATATTTAGGCTCCAAAGAACAGAATAGCAGAAAAAACAAACAATGGTGTTTTTAAACAATGAGTGTTGCTTTCCTTTAGCCATAAGGGTTTTAAAACTTGACAAATCCATTCAGCTTTCAAAGCATTCCACATTCCCCACCCACAAGCAAATGCCAGGAGGTGCCAGTTTGAGCCAACTTTGAGCTCAGGAATGATTTTCTAAATACTGGATCAGATTTCTTGAATGTCCACACTCAACAAAAGGGTATTTACCATTTTCTAGTTGGTCTGATGGAAACTGCATGGCAATTGATAAAGCTGTTAAATTAAAAAGGTCATTTCAAAAAGAAATGAGAGGGCCTTCTCTGGTGACGCAACTGGTTGAGGGTTAAGCACTGTACTATGAAGCTAGCTAGCCACAGCCGCTTTAGCATGAGTTTGACCCCGCCAGGGAGGTGACCCACATGGCGTGGCAGACCTCTCCTGACTTGCCTGCTGCTCCCCTCAACAGTGTACTTTGTCTATCTGTTTGTTCTGCTCCACTCTGTCTCTGGTGAATCCTCTCACTGCCCCTGCCCCTCTGGCCTGTACCCCAGTTCTTGTATGTATAAATAAATACATCTTTAAAAAAATGAGACCAATCAGAAAATAGTAAGCATATTACTATTTTAAAAAGACTAAGTATTACTGCCTTAAATCTAAAATTTTAGGCATTTGTGCAGCGGTTCAGTTGTAATGAAGGACTGAGCAGAAAGAACTTTCTGATTACATTAAAAAAAAAAGCAATTTCCTTAATTTGCAGGAATTATATACTCATGCATTCAACTAACAATTTTTTGGACGCATGCCCTGTGTTCAAGCACCATGCATATGCACTGTGATACAAATGAGAAAGGTATGATTTTGTTTTCTATATTAGTGAGGGAGGTTAGGAAGCAAAGAAGTTTTGTTTTAAAACATAAGTAGTATACACTAGAAATTGAGAAGTGAGAATATGAAAAATGAGGTTAAGAGGAGTGAACAAAGATTTTGAACTTTCATCTGTATGATAGAGCATCATTAGGAAATAATTATGAACCTTACTTTTAGAAGGCACATGCTGTTATTAATTTGGAGAATGGGTATGTAATGTGGAGACACCAAAGGCAGAATAAGTTCCAGTTGTCATAAAAATCAATCCACAACACTGTGATGTCTCCTTTTTGCTCTGTAATTCATTTCCTCTTACCTCTCAAACACACACGATTTAGAAAGTCTAGTATTTCAGTGGTAGCCCTTAGTTTTTGTAATATTTGAAAATTTCCCATATATCTGTTATTGATTTCCTATTTGATTCCATTGTGATCAGAGGTCATATTTTTTATTACTTAAATTCTCTAAAGCTTATAGAGACTTGTTTAATGGTTTACAATATGGTCTAAGAACATGTTCCAAGTGCTTTTGAAAAGAATGTGTAATCCGCTCTTGCTGGGTACTGCTGGGATCTAAAAATGTCAATTCAAACTGGTTGGTAGTCTTAAGTTTTTCGTATCTTAAGTGATTGTTTCTTCTTCTTCTATCAAACATTGAGAAAGGGGTCTTCAAATCTCCAACCTTAACAGATTTAGTCTTTTCTCATTATAGTTGTATCAGTTTTTGCTTCATTTATTTTGAAACTGTTATCAGGTAAATAAGCATTTAGAATTGTCATAATCCTTTTGCTTAATTGAGTCCTTTTTATCTCTTGTAACTCTTTGCTCTGATAGCTACTTTGTGATTAATACAGCCTCTCTAGCTTTCTTGATTAAAATGGTGTATCGTTTTCTATTCTTTCATGTTTTATCTGTATATAGTCTATTTTTAGGATGTTTCTTGTTGGTGACATATAGTTGGGTCTTTCTGAAAAATCCAGTCTGACCATCCCTGTCTTTTATTTGGGGTGGTCGAGTATTTGTATTTAAACCTCTTTAAAGACTCTTTAGGTGAAAATTTAAATATTAAAGTGTGGAGCTTATAAAATACGTATAAGTAAAGTATAAGACCACCTCAGCACAAAGGTAAGAAAGAAATGGAAATGTACATTAACATAGTTCTTATATTACATGACATGTAGCATACCAGTTAAAAAATGTGTGGCATATCTACAGTAGTCACTAAAGTAAAAGAACAAAAAGTTATTGCTAATGAGTCAACAAAGGAGATAAATTAGAACCACAGAAAATAGTTAATCCAAAGGAAAGGAGTGCTCTCACCCCACCTCCCAAAAGCACAAATGGAACAAAACAGGAAATAGGAAAATGACAGCTGTAACCTAACCATATAAATAATTATATTAAGTATAAATGCTCTAAATACTCTGATTACAAGTTAGAGATCATTTTGGTTTCTTCTTTGAGAATTTTAATTCAATGAATCAATCTTCTTTTTAAGAAACATTTCAACTCATGATTATATTTATCAATTAATTTTTAAACAAGATTTACTATTTATGCATATAGAACTGGGGTACAGGGCTGGCAGTGAGAGGATTCACCATACACAGACGGGGGAGCAGATCAGGCAGATGGATAAAGTACACTGCTGAAGGGAGCAGCGGGGGAGACAGGAGAGGTCTACCATGCCATGTGGGTCACCTCCCTGGCCGTGGATCAAACTCGTGCTGCAGTGGATGCGGAAAGCTTCATAATGCTGTGCTTTAAACTCACTGCACCACCAGGGAGGGCTCATTATCAATTAATTTTTTTTTCCTGAAGTAAAAGTGTCAATTTTATTTTCCAGATTAAAGTGTTTAGATTCATTGCAAAAAAAAAGAAAACAAAACAAAAGATTCCACCATCACATAGACCTTTAAATATATTTTCTTTCAACAGAAAAAATAAATCAAAATAGTTTAGATACAATATGAATGTCAGCTGCATAGGAAGCCAATCAATCTTTCAATATCTTAACATTGCTTTGTTGAACAAACAACTGTAAGAGGCAAAATTTCAAAGATATTTTATTTAAAATTCTCCATTTAGGAGGAAAGGTATGTAATGTTTACACATGCTTTCATAATTTATTTCACTGTGCAACTTGCATTCTATATAACAGTACAATAAGCCAGCAAAAGAAAATTCTCAGTCAGCAATTAGTCTCTCATGTAAAAAGCACTGAGTAAAGGGTACCAAAGTTGCTGTCTGTGAATGTTTTCATGACTCAGCAATACAACATTAGTTATCTAGTTCCACGTGTCTAAAAATCAAGGCATATATCTTTTCTTATTAGTGATAGAAAGGTTATTAGTATCTTTCCAAATACCACAATTCTGTTAGAATGTGGTATCTGAGAGCAGAGGGGCTTTATCGCTTTTCTCCTTTTCTTATAAATATATTCCCTTTTGTAGTAATTCCACAGTTCTAAATAAATTTTTATGCTGTGTATATTACTATGTCAGCACTGTTCTAATACAGAATTATGTTATTTTATAGCCAGCAAAATGGTCCAAACACATGAAAGAAATAGATGTTAGTTCTGCCAAAGTAGCACCTAGTAAATCAGCATGTCAAAGTTTCTCTTGTTATTCTTCATATGATGTAGGCAAAAAGCCATAGCAGAAACTTTATAAATATGGGCAGAAACATGAGAAGGAACTAGATAGGACACTGTTCTCCATTCCAGAATAAAATATTTTTACCATTTAATCTATTTTCTAAAGCATTTAATTATCTCCAAGTTACAGGGGCTACCAAGTCAAGATAAAATGATGCAAGATGAAAATGACTACTTAAATCTGAACTTCTTCCAAATGATTATATTTTCCAAGGGGAAAAAAAGGCACAGGAGGTACACATTTTAATTCAGCTCAAAATAATGAGAACTAATTTTAAGTGAGAAATATCTACTAAAACATAAAATTCAATTTTCTACTTCTAAGCTCAATAAACAATATCAGGACTGTGGGTCACTGTTTGGAGAATACATGTTGCTTGACATTCCCACACAGACAGGATCCTAAGGACTAAGTCTACAATGCAGGATTTAATAATTAATTTCAATGAACCATGTGCTTGGTCAGTAATTTTCTTCCTAAAGCTTAGGATATGTACAAGCTAATTTTCTTTTTCTGAAACTGAAATGATTTAGATGTTCTAATTTTCAGCTACTGAAAAGTTTTACAGTAATCTCACATACCAAGAACACCAAGAGATGTAATGTCAAACTAGTATCTGTGAAGTTAATTCAGATTCACTTTGACACGTGTAAACCATGAATCCTAAGTTAGAAAAAACAGTAGTTATGGTCAAGTTTCAACACTTATATCTTTGAAAGATATCAATAATGTTTATTATAATTGTAAACATAAATCTGTATCCGAAGAAAGCACATCTAAGAAAAGATGCACCCACTGCGATGATGCACCTGACATCCCTTTACAGACACCTTGTGACAACTGTAGTGTAACTGACTTTAACTGCCATTGCTGATTAGGACTCTGGGGCATGACAGGGAAGGAATGGCGTTACCCATACATACCACTGAACTACTTTAGCAGCAATCATAATAGTGACAAACAAGTTACACATTTAAAAAGTCATCAGAACATCTCTTTCTTGTACACTAGTATAGAAAGGTCTTCCGAAGATGAAGGAGTGTAGTCCTGGTTTAATTTTTTCAGCTAAAGCCATTATTATGTTAAGATCGCCCTCTGCTGTTAAATCAAGGTCTATCTTCAGGTTCCGAAGAGATTTAAAGGGCTTTTTCCCCTTCTGCCTACAGGTCATGAAAAAAGAGCAGAAAACCACAAATATATATGTAATGTTCAAAGGAAACAAAAAAAAATGTTGAAAGGAATTTGTTCTAGCCATCAGTTTTACTTACGTATCATCTTCTATGTATTTTATTAGTGTCAAGGCTTTTCTGTGAAGGACAAGTAGAAACTGTGCAAGGAAAGTACTCCTGAGAGATAAACCAGGTTTCAGATGAAAGACCTGTAGTAAAATGAAGCTTTTTAGTAAGTAATCCACTCCTATTCTCTTGACACATCACAAGTCTACCACAGTTTTGGTGGTGTCTGGCAGCTAACAATACATCCTGGCACATCTCAGTCATCTCTATTGATACACCAACAAGACAGAAGCACAGTGGAAGAATGGATTAGGTGGCAGTCAGACAGTTCTATGGTGCCTCTAAAAATGGGCTGAATTTCACGTTCTACCTCCGAATAAATCCATATTTATAATTTAAAATCACATCACTAGTTGCTCTGAATTGTATTAGTCTACTTCTCCACATCTTCAAATAAAACCGAAGCATCCAGAAGTTGAGCTATGCTTGGACTATGATTCTGAAGTATACAGAATCATAAGGATAGGGGCAGAGTACACATGCCCCTAGAGGGATTTTATTTCAGCTTGAGAAGTATGGAATTACATGACTATAAATTGTCCTTGAACTTAACACAAATGTCACAGACCATACAGACCAGGATCCAATATTTCTACTGAACATAAGGATCTCATTATTTCAAAATTACATCTACGACACTGTTTCCTGGCATGATCCCCAGAATGACATTATGACAAAGCTCTTTTATATCTGAAGTAAGCCCCATAAAATTTTCTTCAAATGTGTAATTAGATTTTTTTCCCCTAAAGAATGAGCACTAAAGATGCTATTATTTAAATAGAACTGTACTAAATTAAAAAGACATTTGTGGCTCAATTAATGTAAATAAACATTTACTACTCCTCCTACAAATGCCCTTGAGTTATAGGTTAGTGCTGAAATGGAAGCCTTTATTATTTAAACTGGGGAATGTTGCATCTTTAATTGCTAATATACAGAAGTCTCCAACAGTAATTCAAAAGAAAAATTATTGAGACACTTTATAAGACCAGAGATGATTAATGTAGTTGTATCATATATATATATATACAGTTTAGGCATTAGAGAATATAGTAAAAAAAAAAAAGATGTAGCACAACTCTCACAATCTCAGGTTTAAGATTTACCTGGTCCAAGAAGGCTTTAACTAGCGTGTCTCTGTGTAAAACATCTTGAAAAATATTCCTATAAAGAAAACAATTGTTGAAGTTCTGAAATGCATATATGATGCTACCTTTTCCAACCCCTCACTATAATCAATAAATCAAATTTCAAGGAACAGGATATCACATACAACGGTATTTATAAGAATCAAACATATATATTTGGAGATATAAAACATGTATTCACTTTAACTCAAGGATGTATTTGTAAATTACTAGAACTTGTTAGATCATTATGTAGTGATTTTTTTCTCCAAAGAGGACAAGTAATTTCAGAAAGGGTATGCATATGTTTGTAATCAATATATGTTAGTACCTTCATCTTATTAAAAAAAATGTGAGAGCAGTAGGCAATTAATACTACCTATTCTTATTACCACTCAAAAAACAAAACAAAAACAAACATACACAACACCATTAAAAACTAAAGCAAAATAAAAGGCTGACTTTATCTACTAATAACTGCTAATACGCAGTTTAGAAGGAGCAAGAGTAAAAGGAAGAATGCTAAGAAATGTTAAGAGTAGGATTAAGGAACATACCCAGGTGGTTATCAGCAATACCATTACTACTAGACTTGCAATAAAAACTCCAGGATCTGGTAAGTGACAGGTCATTATTACCCTCAGCATCAAGTACCAGATCTTGGGACTTAATATGTATTTGGTAAATAAACCCTTAATGACTTATTTTTACAAATTAATGTAATATATTTTACGAGCTTCCTTAAGAGAAACAATCATATCAAGAAAAATAGATTTAAGAAAAAAAGTTTTTTGAAGCATAATTCTATTAGTATATTCTTCCCTTTAAATACATGTTTGTTTTGCTCACAAAAGATACAATTTCAAAATACTGTTTTATAGCAAGCTTGAAGGCATTACGTACAAATCAGGAGTGAAACTCTCGTCTGTGTAGATAATTGTGTCCTGAGCCATATCTTCCTCTGAAGTGGCCCTCCAGAATGCTGACAGTTCTGATCTCATGTATCTGCGCTGATTATATATATGCTCATGACAGGGTGGCATCTGCTTGACAGTATTGATATCCACATCTATGTGTGTGGTGGGATAGGGAGCATACATAACTTGCCGAAAGGGCAGCACAAAGCTTCCAGTTGAATCCTGTCATAATGAAAGGAAAAGTTACTGCCAAAAGATAGGAAGAATTACTTTTTAGTTAAAAGAAATCTGGCTTCAATTTAGCGAATTCATGCTAGAAATAAATCATTTTAGTGTGCAAAGGTGTGGTAATAGGAGTGTTTATTTACTACAGCACTGATTTTAATAGCAAAATACCATAAACAAACCAAGAGTCCAAAAAAGCGAGTGATTATCCAATATATTTAGGGGGAAGGGAAAGGGAGATATGAAACAAACAAAAAAACCAACCCAGTAAGATATGTGACAAATATTAACATCGGTTATTCATTGGTCTGTGAGGTTACAAGGCAGTTTTTTCCTTTGATTATTCATATGCTCTATAATCTCAATAATAAATTTTGTATTGTTATAAGTAAAAAATGTACTTCTTTCCACATGTAGTTAGCTGGGTAGCCAATTGCAATGTAACAAGTACCTACTGTGTATAAGGTACTGTGCTATATGCTATAAACAGAACAGAAGGCAAACTATTTTTAATGTTTTACACTTACACGCTGTAATAATCATCTTTATAAGTAAATCTTCCTCTATATATAATTGCTCCTTAGGATTATATGGATTTACAGATGTATAAATAATGGGTAAAGTCTTTGAACATTTTTGAGACTCTTAATATTTGTCCAAGTATTTTCTGGAAGGTTATACACTTCATGTTATTTCATTGTCATGGAAAACGTATAACAAATTTTTTCATTAAAATATAATTTCAAATAATCCTCTATACATCTGGTTTAGATCCCTTTCAATGATAAAAATAAATAATGAAAGGAGAGAATACTGAGAAAATCTAAGTACATTAGTATTTCTCACAGGAATAAGCTCTAATTTTCAGACTTGTACACTTCAAATCAGAAACAATTTTCCTTTAATTTCTATATTGAATACTTATAGGTTCACAGCCCACAAATTACTGAGATTACAAATTATAAATTTTTTATTTGCAACAACTTTTCATTTTGATATGCCTGTATCCTCATGAAAGCGTATCAGGTAACTATTAGGAAAGCTACTTCTTCACATCTTTGACCATAATTGAAACAATTATCAATTTTCCCCTAATTACTGAAAAATAACTGTCAATTTACCTTTATTGTTCCTTCAAAAGCAGACTCAATTAAAGAAAAATATAAGACAATTTTTCTAATACACACACATATACAAGAAAGTATAAATAATACATAGGAATGTATATATGTAATTTATATACATAGTCTTGAAAAAGTATGTAGATTTTGAGCAATTACTTTATATATACAGTTTATATATATAATGTGCAGATGTGTATATATATACTTTTTCAAGATAAGAAGCTTATATTTTTTTTTTCAAAAGATGAATATGTAAACATAAAGTGGTAACATAAGAATTCAAGTTTCTTTAGTAAAAAAGGAATGTTGCCATTTTGGGTGTGGAAATCAATTCAAGAACAGATTAAAAACAAAAATCCTAGGGCTAAACAGGAAGGCACAGAAAACCACAAAGAACATTATTTTATAGTGTTTTACTTAAAAGAATGATAAGTCTGTAAGGCCTGCCTGAGTAAAGGAAGTCAGCCCTTAGCATAGAAACATGAAATGATTAAATGGTAATATTTGAAATATATTCATAAAGGACCTCAAAATGATTTTTAAAAATTGGTTTCACTTGTACAAATGGAAACTGTACCTTTAAAAGGCCTTGTACAAAGAGTCCTGACTCATATTTAAATGATGATTCTGCTTCACATAATCTGGAGCATTTTCTCTCTGCTGGAGTCAGAAAAAGGCATAGTGTTCTCACAATCTGTAAAAGAACAGATTTTAGCATTAAAATACGAAGTGAAAAGGCCATTGGCTTGCTTATGAAAGAAATTTCAATTATTTTTGTTAATAAAGTACATCTCAGATATAAGCATCCCTTATTCATCTAGAATATTCATGGGCGGTTAACAGTTGCTGCTTAAAATAGAGAGTCTGGTCAAATTCTTTGAGAAATTCTTTGGTAATGGACTGCCAGATATCTCAAAACTCTTAATATTTGAGTATATATTGTGACTCTCTAGGTAGCTGAATAATAGGAAGATTTTCTCAAATCTGACAAAGAACACTTATTTCAGTGGGAAGCAAAGATCTAATTTATTTATCTACCCTGCACATGTTTTTGGACAAGAAAATAAAATGCAGTTAAAATAGGCAGAATTATAGCTTCTGTTCAATAGTTCTACAGGTGCAAGATCAATGAAACAAATAGGAAGGAGTGTGTACAAATCCTTCAATAAAATGAGAACTGATTTTTATCAAATTTTACTTAAATAAGGGAGTTATTACCTAAGTTTTAGAAACTGATTTTAACAGGACTTCATCTGTAGTTCAATTTAGACAAAAAAAAAAAAAAATGCAATGTAAGTACAATCTCAGACAATATTCAGAGTTTTAATGGTAAAGCAGTGGTTTTAAATAATGGAACCTTGGCTATAAACTAAAAAGATGAAAGGGAAGCCATTAAACCAGAAGAGGATGTGGAAAACTGTTTGGAGATTTCTCAAACTGCTAAAAAATGGAGTTTCCACATGACCCAGCAATCCACTCCTAGGCATCTACCCAAAAGACACAAAAACACTGATTCAAAAAGACATACCTGCACCCCATATTTATTGCTGCTTCATTTACAATAGGAAAGACATGAAATCAACCCAAATGCCCAAAAGTAGATGACTAGATTAAAAAGATATGGTATATATACACAATGGAATATCACTCAGCAATCAAAAGATAAACTCATGCCTTTTGAGCAACATGGATGGAGCTGGAAGGGATCATGCTTAATGAAATAAGCCAGAAAGAAAGAGAAAAATACTAGATGGTTTTACTCATAGCAGGTGCATAAAGGACCAGGGGAAAAAAACAAAACAAAACAATGAATAACTATATATCAGAGACATTTTATGGGGTGGAGTGGGGGATGAGATCAAAAATGGGGGAGGGGGAATGCATGGGACTATGGGGATGGCACATGGGTAAATTGGTGATGGGAATCCCAAGGAGATTACAACTGAGATGATGGAAAAAGGCACAAAATGATGTAAAAATAAACTATTATACAAAAGAAAAAAAAAAAGATTCTCCTATCAGTTAGACAATCTGGAAACTGGTTGTGCTGTCATGACTTATAAAAAGAAATGCAGCAGTACCCCCTTCGCTGACTGAGTTATATTCCAAGGAGCCCAGAAGATGAGTGAAACTTCAGAGAGTAAGTACTGAGCTTTATATACGCTATGCTTCTTTCCTGCACATATACCTATGAGAAAGTTTAATTTTATAAATTAGGGACAGTAGATGGCTAATGACAGTAACTAGTAGTAAAATAGAAGAATTACAGAAACATAATGTGAATGTGGACTTCTCAAATTAATCTTTCCACATGTGATATTTTCAGAATGAGGTAATTGCCATGGATAAGAGGGGGACTACCAGTATATATCTGGTCTTTGTTTAGGTATGTAACTTCTAAAATCCCTGAAATTTCCTAATAAGAGGTAAAGATGTGTTAATATTCCTATCAAACCCCTTTAAACCACAGGTATTTGGTAATGAGGTGACTTTGCTTCCCTCTACCACCTAAAGATGGGGACTGGTTGCAAAGGGAGCCAATCATGTGATCAGAGGGTTGGAATTTTCATTCCCACCTACCATTCACCCCACTTCTGGGGAGGGAAGAGAGGCTAGAAGTTTAACTAACTGCCAAAGGCCAACCATTAAATCATGCTTATGTAAAGAGGCCTCCATAAAAACGAAGTAGGAACGGTTCAGAAGCTTCTGGGATGAACATGTAATGAACAGAGAGAGTGGTGTGTTCAGAGAGAGCATGGGAGCAACCAGCCCTCCCACTATACCTTGTCCTATGCATCTCTTCTGTTTGTTCCTTTTAAGTAAACTGGTAATCCAGTAAATAATATATACCCCTAAACTGTGTGAGCTACTTAAGCAAATTATTAAATGGATCTGAAGAAAGGGACAGTCTTGTAGGACTGAGCCCTTAACTTATGAAATCTGATTTATCTTTTGGGACAGTGTAATATTTGAGTTAAACATTAGGTCACCCAACAGGTGTCTGGAGAATAAGTGATGGAACACCAACCTCCTCTCCTCCTCATCAGAACTGATGACCAAAACCCTTTTTACTGGTACTTGTAAGTTATTTAAAAAAAAAAAAAACTGAGAAATGATTTCCTATTTAGTTTACTTTAAACTCATTTATGTCACAGTATTTGGTTGGGTTATATTATCTCCATACTCTTAAATCATCTTGACTACAACCTAACTTTTGAATTATAATCCATTACATCTTATGAAAAAATACAGATTATTTGTAGAATTACAAAATTAGTTACCTTATTTACTTTCTCTGCACTGCTACCTACTACGACAGAACAGCCACAGGTTTGCAAGTGAGAGCTAATGGCACTGTAAATTGAAGAAAAAAGGATTGAAAACATTGCATGTAAAGCAATTTTATACACTAAAGGCAAATGAGTCTAAATAATTTAGAAAAGTTTACCTGATGAGTACCAAAGCTATAAATATAAAATTATCTTTAATTCTACTTACATTTTTCAGATACCTTCCACAGAATCTTTAATTTAAACCTTAAAACAACCCAGTTAGTAAAACAGTACCATTTTATAATGAAAGATTCTAAGGTTTAGAAAGGGTGATTTTTTTATAGTTAGAAGACTTAAAAATAAGGTATAAATGGCCAACACTGCAGAATCAGGACTATAGTGCCTCTGATTCAAGTCAGGTAAAGTTTCTAGGTTAAATACATTCATTCATCTGAGATGTCAATATAAATCTAAAGGAAAAGACTGTGAACATAAAAGCAAATACTTTATCCTTTCATTTCATTAAACAAAACAGAATTTCTTGATAATCTGCAATTGTAAAGAAATGCAAAAGTATTTTAAATGAGATTACACATGTAGAGAGAAGAATGAATATAGGGATCAACACATTGACATTCAATAAATATTGACCATGTAATAATAATTATTTCCTTAGAAAAATAAAAATAGCTTGCCCAGACTTATAAAGAAGTAACTCAGTTAGTTTGATTTTAAAGCCTTTACTCTTAAGATGTACTATGAAGATTAGTATATGTATGAGTTGCTTTTGTTTCTATGTTTAAATAACTTCATTACATGCATAATACCATCTAATTTGAAAGTATTCTTAATGAGGAAAAAACCAAGAAACAAAATTGGGCTGAGACTTCTTATGTGGATAATGCAAAAACTCAGCCTCTGTAAATATTAAAAAGCAGCATCAAATACATCACAACATGTTAATAAATGAAAAAGTAACATAAAACAGAAGAATAATTTAAACAAGCAATGCTGTCCCTAGAATAATCTGGGTAGATATTATGCTACTATTTTCTTACTTCCAAATCTGTGGGGAACTTAAGATTTGTATTTGCTTCATCTAGGTTTTTTTGTTTATATAATAGTTTATTTTTACATCATTTTGTACATTTTTTTTTTCATCTCAATTGTAATCCCCTTGGGTTTCCCATCACCGAGTTGCTTCATCTAGTTTTAATGAAAATTCTTACTTGAGAAGAAAGCCTTCATGACAACTGTCACCAATATCATCATCATTGAGAACAGTATCAATTATCTGAAATCACCAAAAAAAAGTACTTAGACTATAACACAATATAGTAACACTTTAAATATACAAGTCTAAATTAAAAGTATCATACTGCTCTCATTTTGAGCTTCAAGAATACCCATAAAACAATCTCTGTGTACTACCATAAACTTTCAAAGGAATAAATACAAAAGCTGGTTGGGCAGGTTAAGCAACAATTTTTACAAGAAGAGCTTCCTTTTGAGCTGTCAGAATCAGGAGACAATCCTTAATCATAGGGTCAGAAAACAAGAATAGTTTGCTAATGAATTTTCTATCAATGAATTTTCTATAAATAAATTCAAAATGCTCTCAAATAATTTGGAAACAATATTAAAGAAAATCCTTTACTAAGGGCCACAGATTTGTAGTATGTTTTGTTATAACAGTGCTTGCTTCTATAAAGTCTGAAATTCTATTCCAAGAAATATAAAATGGTTAAGTAAATTAAGTTTTATAACTACTATTATCCAAAGCTTCTGTTTGGCCAAAAACTTCAGTATTTTAAGAGTGATTAGGGGTCTCCCCCTTGTGGCACAAGGGGCTGAGACACTACACTGTGAGGCTGTCCACAGCTACTGCAGCACAAATTCAATCCCAGGCCAGGGAGATGACCCACATGGCTCAGTAGACCTCTCCTGTTTTGCCATGTGCTCCCCTCAGCAGTGTATTTCAGTCGATCTGCCTATTCTGCTCCCCACTCTGTCTTTGGTGAATCCTTTGGCCTGCACTCCAGCTCTTGTATGCATAAATAAGTAAATCTTAAAAAAAAAAAAAGTATTTAAGTGACTAATACTTCCTATGAATAGTATGCATGATAGGAAATGCATGCTAAAATTAGTAAATTACTAATATAGATAACAGCAACATAATTCAAAGGAACTAGAAGTAGGAAACATTATCCTATTAAACTATATAAGAACTTACATCTATTTCTTCAGGAACACTGTGTGATTTCATAGATGAAAGTAGTTCCATTACAGGAATTACTTCTCCAGTAAGCATAGGAATAATACTCTGACCCTGCATACAAAAGTATAAAGAGGTGAAGAAATTATAGTACCTAGGGTAAAGTGGAAAATAAAACATTATAAATTGAAAGCAAACAGTGACATCGTTGATAGAAATACTCAATAACTTCTTCAAGCACAGCTTCAAACACATTTACTACCCAAAACATTTCTAAAGGATTTATATGCCATTTAAAATTCATTTGTATTCTTCCATGAATAATTTTCTCTAATCAGAATGGAATCAGTGGTTTATCATTTATTATTACATGTAGTAATTAAATCACCCTGCCAAATTTAGAAATTTATTTGAGATATAAAAACTACTGTTAATTAAAGGTATTTTATATTTAAAAAATTAAAAACTACTGTTAATTAAAGGTATTTTATATTTAAAAAATTAGGAAAGGTAAGCATACAGTCTTTGAAATCTTCAGCAAGTAACTCAGTAGTAAAGTTCAAATCAATAGTTAACCTCATATTCATAAGGCACAAATGCAAGTTAAAATCAGTACATATACTTTAAGAATCAACAAAACTGACAAGTTTCCTTTAGAGTTCTTTCAAGATACTATTATTACTTAACATATCTCAAAAATACATTTCTGCAATTTGTAGTTTCTAGAATGAAACTGAAAATAAAATACAGACCACAACAAAAATATAATGTCTCAACTACAGGTGATACTTCACTTATTCACTATTACTTCTCCCAAAGTTTTTCACCATTACAAATATGTAAACTTTTGGAATGGTGAATGTAATAGTCACATATGTCTATCAAAATTTGGCAAAACCAGTTTTATTTAAGTTCAATCTTAATAGGTTGTTTTTCCCTTCACTCACATTTCATGAAATATTTTAATCAAACATTTCATATGTATCTTCAAACTAGAAAATGTTATCCCTAAAGAGACCTAACTCATTTTTTTAAGAACCCTTTCTCATGTAAGTTGCCTCAGAATTTAAGCGTAATTGTTTCTCTGGAAATTTTATCTTAAGCCCCTTGCATCTTATTGAAGGCTTTATTATTTAAAAAAAAAAATCTGTAACCTTAGCAACACAACACTCATTGTTTCTGCTTTCTAAAGTAATTTTCTAAGTGCTTGTTTACAATTACAATCAAGATATGCAATTCAACAAGAATAATGACTGAAGTTATATTAAATATACTTCTTTTATCAGAAGACAGCTCCAAGCATACAAAGTTAGCACAGAGTGTAGTTGCTTTTGACTAACCTGTCATCCCTAAAGAATACTGATTGTTCAAAATAAAGTCATTGAAAACACATGATGTGGGCTTTGAAAGGATCAACTGTCAATGCCCCCTCTTTTTTTAGAAAAGATAATTATGGGAAAATGCTGTCCTATTGTTTTAGGTATATGTATCTCATCACTTTTTTCTCAGACATTTATCACCCTAAATGACTGGATATTCTCACTGAAGTATACAACAAAAAAAATCCTATGAGAATGAACACAGAAGAGGCTCTAAAAGGAAATTTCTCAAGTTTTGTTTCCTCTTTGGATTTCTCTAATTTGGACTTCTCACTAGGGATGTTTTCTTTTTAGAAAATCTCCATTTTGTTCAAATGTACAGATAAGATAGGAACACATTTTCAAGTAGAGCTCTTAAAAATTAAATAGTGATAACTTTGTAAGTTTCCACTTGGAATAAAAGAAAACAAAACCAATTCCAGATTCCATTAAAAGTAGAATTATATTGGGTCCAATATCTTCTCCTGAGATAATTCTAAGTACTCCTTAACTAGGCAGGTACACATAGTGTTTGGTAGGTAAGTCACCCCATCCTTGGCACCTGCCTACTGACAGGAAGGAAGGACTGGGCTTCCTTGAGTAAAAGGGACATATTTTCTTCTAAGTTTCAGACTTTTCCTCAGACTTACCTCCTGTGCCTTACAAAGCTATTCATAGAAACTTTCATAAAAAGTTAAGATTTTGGAGAACAAATTTATGTTCTTGTATTTTTATAATTTTTAAGAAAAGTTATTATGCAAAGTATCAATCTGTCGGAAAACACAAACACACACAAAAGTAATTTAGTCATGTGCAGAGTGGAGCTTTAATAAATAGAGCAATGGGAATGGCCAAACATAATGGGAATAAAAGCAAAGGACTTTTGTCCACTGACAATTCCCTTTCCAGACGTGTCTGAACTTCAGAACTATATTGAAACGGTTTGTATTTAATCTCCACAAGGGAAACCAGACACTTAATAATGCTTCTCAAACACTTGTACCTTCTCACTTGTACCTTCTCCATAAGGGCATTCTAACTCATACTTTCTTAGAGACTTGATATTATCAGAAGTTTGATAGGTAAAGTAAGGAATATCTCTGGCAAATTATAATGTTAAAACAAAACTGCATCATAGAATAACTGCATGAATTTTAAAGATACAACATGAAACTTCAAAGAAATGTTCTGGTTAGGGTTGTATCTGTAACCCCAGAGCTTAGGGGCATACACTTTTATCCCCCTACATCTATGGAAATGTTTGAGAAGCAATGACTTAATGAAAACTTCATGTGCAATTTTCAATTTTTACGATGAACAACTTATTCAAAGTTTAGTCTCTGCAAACAGAAAAAAAGGTAGGAAGATAATAATCAATGCAATTTACTTTTATCTTTTATTCATTTAGCTTTTCAGGTCATCTAGTTTATTCCATACATCTCCATGGAACTGCTATTCATTTCTAAAAGTAGCCCTCTACTTACATAGACAATGCTGTGGACAAGGTATTGATGCTATCTGCTCCTTACCTGATCTTCCATTCTTTCTGTGCCTTCTAAGACAATCTTCTGGACATTTTCTTGCCTTTCCTGAGCAAGAGAAAATTCATTAAAACAAACAAACAAACAACCTCAACAGAGACATTTTTGTATATTTTAGTCATGGGTAAAACACTTTCAATGCATCTAACTGAGGATGAGGTAAGGAGGAGAAAACCACAAATGCTGAAGTCATTTGGATTTTTCATGATAACTTTAAAACTGTGGAACTGAATCACTTTTTATGTCACTGTTTAGATAATCCTGGAATATTTGGTTAATGTGAGAGCAGAAGTAAGAAATTAACCCACCAAAACTATGCTTTCACAGATAATACAAAATAAAATTAGAATACCTTTACTTCTGCAGTTAAAAACTGATAATTTTGCAGAAAACAGTAAAACATCTGCATAGTTATATGATAGAAAACTTGTGATGGAAACTACACTTTCCAATAAGATCAAATAGAATATAAAGAATATAGAGCCTCTAATTTTAAATGACTTTCATAAATATGTAAGAAGTCTGCAAAGATGTTTATAAAAAAATTCTTTAATAAGACATTATTTTTCCTATCTGGTAAAAGCTTTGTAATAATACTTTTGAGAACTTCTATGTTAGTATCAAATTGCAAGATAGATACTTGAATTTGTTCTTCTTTCAAAAGTATATGCAAATAAAAATGTCATCACATATTGAACTGTAGGATTTAGGGGCTAACAATAACTTCCTCTAGAAACCAGTTGGCCCAATCTCTTCATTAAAAAAATTTGGGAACTTGGCATAGGAGTTAAACTACAGGGACCAATGGTTATATGGTTGACTGCTTATGAAAAAACTGTCTTGATTTGCTTATTGACTCACAACAATAAGCGAAAGACAGGGATGAGAGGGGTGTGTGTGTGTGTGTGTGTGTGTGTGTGTGTGTGTGTGTGTGTGTGTGTGTGTGTGTGTGTGTGAGGTGACGTCAGGCAATGAAAAAAATAAAGGCTAAAATAAAAATAGAGTCAAAGTCTCCCAAGACAAGATTCCAAAACCTCTGTGTGTATGTGTGTGTGTGTGTGTGTGTGTGTGTGTGTGGAGAAGGACTGGGATGTAGGTCAGAGGTATGGGAGACAATGGGTGAGAAGATTCACAAGAGACAGAGAGGGGAGCAAAACAGGCTGATCTACTGAAATACACTGCTGAAGGGAGCAGCAAGGTGAGACAGGAAAGGTTATGCCATAAACGGGTCAGGGATTGAACTCAGACTGTAGTGGTGATAACACAGAGAGTTAATTCCTAGGCCACTAGGATGCCCCAAAACATATTTCTTAATTTCTCTAAGCTTAAGGTTTTTATTGGTAATGCAGTGCAATCATCTCCTACCTTTCAGGATTTTTATGAAAATAGATTAGTTCAGGCCCTCCCTGGTGGTGCAGTGGGTTAAAGCACAACACTGAGAAGCTAAAGCCACTTCCACATGAGTTCGACTCCTGCCTGTCCTGGAGGTGACCACATGGCGCAGCAGACCTCTCCTGACCCGCCCGCTGCTCCCCTCAGCAGTGTACTTCGTCGATCTGCCTGTTCTGCTCCCCACTCTGTCTCTGGTGAAGCCTCCCACTGCCCCTGAGCCTCTGGCCTGTACCCCAGTTCTGTATGAACAATAAATAAATCTTTAAAAAAAAAAAAAAGAAAAAGAAAATAGATTAGTTCTATCTGTATTTAGTAGGGTAGATGCAAATAATATCTAATGTTTGACTTAACTGTTCACAGTTACTAAAAACTAGATATAAATATATCAGATAAACTTTTGATGGCTAGGTTGGCATGATTAATAAAACGAAAAACCACTCACCTTATGCATCCATATTCTTCCTTTCCGGATAATGTGTGTTAGTCTATCAACACACACTCTGTGAAGTGGGAGGTAGAAGCTAAGTTCTGTCTGTGGAAGTATAATTGATAATCCATATGTACTTCTATCCCCATTCCAGTTTCCATCGAAGATTAATGAAACAATAATTACTCCTTTTTCGGATAAGACAAAAAACTTTACATCTATAGCTCCACTCTCTGCATTTCGAAGGATTTCTCCATTTAGTGTATGGTTGGCAAGAAAAGTTATTTCTCCATCGCTGAGAAGTACCTGTTCTGTCTTTGGAGCCCAAATGTGTCTTACTCTAGGGCCAAGAATATTGTCCCAGTAAGCAAAGGTAGCTGCTAATAAAGGTGATTTACCATTTAAAATAATCTCTGTCTTGGCAACAGCTGGAGATGGTGGTGGACAGAGAGCCGACATCACTGCATCCAAAATCTCACATTATCCAAATATTCCAGGGTTATCTAAAGAACGACATTAAAAAAAAAAAAAAAACCCAATGATTAGACCCAGGAGAGACATTCAACTAATATGGCAAGTACACATAAGTGTTTACTGATATAATTTTACAATATGTAATAGTAATTTGTCACTATGTATGGGGCATACATTCAGAAATCCAAAACAAATAAAGAGAGCCTCTGAACATTCATATGAAATATTATATACTAACACTCACTAAACATATCCTCACTGTTCCCAAGTACCCAGTCTATGTACAGTTCTAATATGGTTAGGTATTTAAATACCTAATCTGATATGATTAGGTATTTAAACTCATAGCAACTAAAGAAAAACAAATAGGGACAGGTGGGCTAGTCAGAGGCCATAATGCTTGCTTGAGTTGAACTGTGACTTGCCCACTCCCAAAATGTGTTCAAATTCTAACCCCTGGTATCTGTGACTATAACCTTACTATAAATAAGTACAACCAAGGAGATATATTAAGTAAATACATAGCCATGACTATACTGCACTTTTATTTTTCCTTTCTTTTGGGGGGAAAAAAGGGAGTGTAATGATACTAGGAAGAGTGTAATAATTTCACCCTACATTAAAATGGAACTGAGCCTGATAGCAAAATCTGGTTGAATTATGAGAGAACATTTTACCTGATTTAATTAAGCTATTGTAGATCATTAATTACATTTGAGTCTCACTACCAGTAACATTAGAAAGAAAACAAAAACAGGTATCAAGTTGAATTGCTTAGATTTAAATCTGCCAAAATAAATAATTTGAGAAATGCAATGTTACAGAAAAGTGTAATACAAGAGTAGTAAAAAAGATAGACTAACAAAGTCATCCTCTTTGGTGAGAAAAATCCATATACACAGATGTGGATAAAAAAATCAGTTTAAAACCAATAGTCTTTATCCATACATCTTAGTTTCATGTAGTATTGGCTACACCAGTGTTATCAAACAATTAGCCATAGGGTCTTTTGAGAGAAGCCAGGATCCAAATTGGGTGGCACAGTGGTTTGGCACTCCTGTAAAAAAGAATAGGGTTCATGAGAATATACCCAATATACTTTTGAAAATAATCTATCATATGAAGACACAATTATAACAATTGTCATATGTTAAAGATGTTAACACAGTGGTAGGTTTGAAGCTTTACTTTTTCTCAAACCTTTCCTACAAAGCTATTATCTCTTCTCTAGTTGATATTTTAAAAGTTCATTAGTCCACTGCAAATCAGTATTAGTCCACTGAAAATCAGTATTCTACAGTCATAAAGTCACAATTTTGGAACCACTTGTTTTTTTTCTCCCAACCCTAAAAGCAGCAGTCGCCTGATCAACAGGAGTTGATCAGGCCAATTCAATGACAGTGAACTGCTATCATCAGACTGTTTGGAACAGTTCTAAAATTTCAAGAGGCAAGACTCAGAGATAAAGTTCAACATATCAGTATCAGGCTACCGCTCACAGATCCAAGTTTCTCAAACAGGCAGGCTAACCTCCCAGTCTTTAGAACTGCTTAATTTTCAGCGAGCCAGTGGGGAAGCTTAAAAGAAAAGAGTCTTTTTTTTTTTTAACTTCTTTAATTGAAAGATAATTTTGGACTGCTAACAGAGCCTAATCAAGAGACGGTTGAAGCAAATTTACAAGAAAGAAAACTTAGTTTCTATATTACTGTTTTCTGAAGCAGTTTAGTGCACAACCTGCAACGTGGCCTGTAATTAATACTTCATTTTTGTTTAATTTGTTTAAAGAGCACAGTCATCACTAGGCAGTTTCTCATTTAGTCAGGTTTTTCCCAGGGTGGCAGGGTTTGGTTGAGGTGCTGGCAACAGTATCTGTGTCACAAACCACCACATTACAAGTATTCCGACTTTATATTGTTAATTTCGTATTATTATAATGTTTCTGTGTTACCTAGTGGTGAACATTTTCCAGAGTGGGAGAAAGATGGTATCTAACACCATTTTCCAGTAGCTGTTGCACATTAATTAATTTTAACAAATTAAAAGTATCAGGCATAGCTCCTTGCTGGGCATCTTAGGTGAAGAATGAGACCAGTTAGAAACGAATTTATCCACTAGCCATCACCAGACTTTTCCTTTTCTAGAGTCTACCAATCTCCATTGCTCTGAAAGGGACATGCCTCCGTCTCTTGCATACACAAACTCGGTGCCCTTCAGACACCGTGTGGATACAGCAGGCGTGCAATCTGTGCACTTCCTTCTGCAAGTGATAGTATCATTCAAGAGATGCCACAGTCACAGTGGTCACTTCCTTTAAATAAATCTAGTAATCTCGGAGCAGTGAAGCAAGAGGATTACGTATCCCCAAATCAGAGTACAACCCGGTGCAGAACTGCTGCCCAAATTTTCAAGGAACCAGCAATTCTCGGAAACTTCTATTGAAATTCTCTAAGCGTGTAGTACGTCAACACATCCACACCACCCAGCCAATCTCCTCCTCTCGGACCCCAACTAGGTCCCGACCAGGCACGCGCCGCCCTCTGGCCTTCCCCCGGGTCGGGCCTCTAAGTGCAAGAGGCTGTTTCCCCAAAGCCCGCGTCGCCGAGACTTGGGTTCCTCCAACTCTCACGCCGGGTCCCCAGAAAAGAGACGGCTCTGGGACAGAGGGAGGGAAGGCCGGGAAGAGGCCAAATCCCCTTGGTCTACGCCGCCGCCGCCGCCGCCTCCCGGGAACCGGAGGCCCAGATGCCGAGAGCTCCACTCGTCGCCGGTCCACGAAAACTGCCCGTTTCAGTCGGGTAACAGACGGTGAGTAAGGGGGAAAGAGAACGCACCGGGCCTTAGAGAGAGCCCGCGACGCCACCCTGGCCACGTCCCAGTATCCCAAGCCCACGCAGCCGCTAACACGCCGACCTCTCACTTACCCATTCGCCACAGCCCAGCGCCAGCGCCTCCGCCTCCGCTCCCGCGGGCGCAGGCACCACAACCGCAGCCCCGCCCCCGTCCCTCCCCCACACCGCCTCTGGGCTCGCCTCTGGCCACGCCCCTTGCGCGTCCAGGCTGTCAGTTCTGCTTTGGTTTCTCTTCCTCCTTAAATTTTATCCGACTTTACCACTTTCACCTACGGAGAATACTGTGAAAGAAGTTAGGGGAGAAATAGCGGGCAATCCTAAAACACACAGTTTCTAAGCACACACCTGCTTTTTTCTAGATCCTGTTCCCATACCCAAAGGAAAAGAAGCCGCCAGGAGGGATGCTTGACGTACCCGGCGCCATCTTTTATGAGGGCGGAACGAGTCGCTGTTTGGTGCACCGCCCATTTTCTCATTTGGACTCCGTAGGTTACGTCTTGGCGCTTTCTATTTGCCGTGACGAGAACGCAAACACACGAGGCCTGTATGAGGAGGCGGGGCAGACTTGTTCTGTCCTTTCCTGAGCAATTTCTGTGGTGAAAATGTTGGTTTAAGGTATTAACCGAGATGGCGCTGTCCTTAATGGGGAAGATAGATCTCGAGAAAGAAAGCAGAGTTGTTAGTTGCAAATGGTTTGGTTTTTGCTTGGTGGTTAGTGATGCTGAACAGATATTTGATGGATGTATGAATTTCTTTCATCCTTATGACACAATTTAGTAATCTGTAACTTAATCCCACATCCGAAGAGGTGGTAATTTTCTTTCCCCACACTGGGTAGTCACCACAATTATGTTCTCCTTACTTGCATGCTTTTTCCTTAGGCATGACTTCACACCTTTAAATGCCATTTTGCTAGCTGCACAATGGTGATGAGGTTTTTCTTAACCTTTGAAAATTTCTTTATCATTGTTTGACGGGCTGTGTGTGTGTTTTAAATTTCAGGTTAAATCAGCCTTTGGTCTGCAAGTTTGTCTATTCAGGCTAACCACTAGAGAAGGGTCACACTTAAGTCTTGCAGCACATCTTTATCATTCACTGATGTAAAAATGAAATAAACACACAAAATGACTTCCTCAACCTATGTTCTCCACAGAAATCAATTCCTTGTAAGGACTAACTCTCAGCTATAACACCAAAGAGCTACCATTTATCTAGTTCCTGCTGTGTGTTTGGTACTATGCTCTTCAGTCTACATAAAGAATTACTTTTAATCCTCCCCTCATATCTATGATAGAGGTTTTGTCATCCCTTTTTTTTACAGAGGAGTTATCTGGGGTTTAGAGAGATTAAGTTATTTAGCAAAGGCCACCTAGCCACCCGATTCAGGCGAATTTACTTCAATTCCAGAACCCACTGAGTCCTGACATGCCAGACTCCTACTCATGAAGGAGTTGTTGACAGCCCTTATCAGATAGCACTTTGGGGAGCTAATAATATCTCCTCCAGTTCAGAGTAAGACTCAGGTTAAGTGCCTGGGAAAAGAATACAGCATCAAGAACAGTTTTTCCTACTACAAAATTTTTGCCTGAACTCAAAATAATTTCCCTTGTTTCCAACAGGTTTCTGTTTTGTGCATTATCAATCCTAGGACAAATATTCTTCCTAAGAGAAATAATGAAATACCAGGCCTACATTCTTCATGACTATGAAAACTAAAGGTATATAGTGCATGTGGCTTTGTTTGACTGATGTGTCTAGTCATTGTGAATTCTCTGCCTCCCAACATCTACTTTGACAATATTTAGGCATTGTGTATCAGTAGTATTTGTAATACCAGTAGTTAGTAAAATCTGAGCACAAAAATCAGGACAGAGAAAAAGTATGTGGTAATGTGACCCCTAACTCCTATCATAAGGAGTTTTAACTCTTTTCCCCTCCAAACTTGTTAATCATTCCAAATAAAACACCTCAAATAATTATACCCTGTAAATGAAAATAGACTTGGTTATTGAAATGTAAGTTCAAGCAAGAATCCTAGTCACCACTTCCAACCAGAAGGCTACTCCCAAGACCCTATTTGAAAAATGTGAGCTACCTACACATAATTAAGGTGCAATCATGCAAAAAGGCTTTAAAACTAGGGGAGCAGATAGTAAAGCAGATAGTTAAGGGATTAGACTCTGGAAGTAGAGCTATGCTATGTCTATCTTTTTGGATTATGAGAGTATTTATCTTCGCCGTACCTCAGTTTCCTCCTTCAAAATGGTAAGCAGGTTTATACTCACAGGGTTATTGTAAGGCTCATTTGAGATTAGACTGACTAAGTTTAGAACAGAATATTTAAGAAACAGTACTGATACTGAGTTTTATAATGATATAGGGATAATACAAGTAATATAAATGACTTAAAAACCTTTTAAACTGTGTTCATATTTATAATACCAATAATTTTAGCTTTAGAGCCCATAGAACCTTGTTACAATATCACAAATGTCAGTTATTGTTGGAAACCTCCCCATCCTTTCTTTATTACTGTATTTAAGGATTATGTGCTACTTCAGAGTTGCATCTGAGGACTTGTTGATTACCTCTGAGTTGCCAAATTATGATAATTTAGATTTAACTGTGGTTGGCGTGAAAAGATCTGATGTTTGACATGGAATTTTGGTATGTAAACCACAATGTGTTTAATTTCTTTTACATAATGAGATTTTATATGGTTGCTTAATCATTTCAGTTTTATCAGTGTGGTTAAGGTACATTGGCTTTTGGTTAGAATATGAATGAGCATGGCCCTCTCTGGTGGCCCAGTGGATGAGGATGCAGCACTGCAAGCTAGTCGCAGTCACTTCAGTGCGAGTTCAGTGTGGCCACCTCCTGCTGGCCCAGGACCTGACTGATATGGCACAGCAGACCTCTCCTGTCTCGCCCGCTGCTTCCCTCAGCAGTGTCTATTTACCTGTTCTGCTCTCCACTCTGTCTCTGGTGAATCTTTACACCACCCCTGCACCTCTGATCTGTACCCCAGTTCTGAATGCATAAATAAATCTTTAGAAATGAGTCTTTAGAATATGAGTGAGCAGACATTCATTCAGTTGGAGGATCTTGAATAAAGTTCAGTTGGAATCTTGAATAAAGTTCTGTCAGCTGGTCTAAGTGGTCTGTAAAGTTCTAGTAGATCTAGTAGGTCCATGCTGGAGCTAACAGTATGTATATAGTTTTAGTGATGCACAGCATTGGTACGATCCCTGCAACGAACATCTTTAGGATCTAATATCTATTTCCTTTCAGATCCTCCTGGGACTAACAATTATATAACAAGTCAGTAAGTTTTTAAGTGAGGGGATTCACATCTTCCACCAGGTATTGTCCTTATCCCTTCCATGTTGGTGATCTGTAGCTCTCAAGCTACAGTTATGAGTGATAAGTTCCCAAAAGAGAATCCAGTATGAGAAAATGCTTAGCTCCTAGGAGTGTCATAAAAATATAGGAGAGAAGTAGGAAATCAAGCAATGACCCCCTCACTCTACACATCCCACACCTGCCTCAGAATGTCCCCCTGAGCTCATCTGCCCTGGGTTGACCCTCTATTTGCCACTCAGCATTCTTTGCAGTTACTTTTTGTTGTACTTATTCATACCTTGCTTTTTAAGTAAGTTCTTTCATCATTTATGTGTTACTTTTGCCTCTCAATTTTATCACGAGCTGAAAATTAGGTTAGAGTTGCTTAGAGTTTTATTGTCCAAAGTCATCTGATATATGATTGGTAAATGATGCACATATCTGATCATATATCAGATGATTGGTAAATTCCAGATGACGGAAACTTCAACTACTTAGGGTTATTATTCTTAGTTCAGGCTTCTGTAACACAAACACCTCTTTTGAAAATGGCTTTTGTCTTTGTTTAAGAACTCAGGTCACTCTGACTTAAAGTGGGTGAGGAGCAGTGGAGGAGACCATGGCTATTTTGGCATCATGGTGGAGCATCATGTCTTCCTTCCCCATGCTATTTCTTTTAACCCAACAAGGAAATAAAAAACCATGGCTAACATCACTTCTCTGGCCACTTTTCCCCCAAATGTTTTGACATCTACTCCTTTTCTTCAAAATTATCTTAACAAGTTTGGTCTTTTTTCTTCCGTGTGAATGTAAGGACTGACTAACCTGTAAACTTCCATAAATAACCTGTGTGGGCTTTTTGGGGGCTTCCATTTATGAGCATGGTACTTTCTGTATTTGAAACTTGATATATTCTTTAATTACATTTTACAGTTTTCTCAGAAAGATACTTCATATCTTTTTGTGATTGTCCCAGGTTATATATTTGTGTTGCTATTGAAAATAGTTTCTTTTAAAAAATGACATTTAAAATGATTTCTTGTTAGTGTGTTTTGTCACTTTGCTTTTCTTTGTTCATCTTATACTTGGCAACCTTGCTTAATGTTCTTAATGGTTGTAAATACTTAAAAACAACAAAAAAAGGAAATAAGCCCCAAACCAGAAGGTCACTACCATTTTACTCTCATGTCCTTCGTGAGACTTTTCAGTTGCTTCCTACTTTCTATAGTGACCTGGGTCCTTAGGACACTATAGCATAATTTGTAATAATCTCCACAATATGGTTCCAGTTGACTTTTCAAGATTGTATTCTTATTGACCTTTCCCTTTGTTCCTTGCAAATCCTCCAATGTTTACTGCTCTGTGACCAAATACGTAGTTCTATTAGTGTGAAATGCACTTACCACTCAGTTCTCTGT